AGCAAATATTGTTGAGGATACTCCTCAAAATAATAGAAAGAGAAAGAAGGCTTCTGGACCGAAAAGCAACCCAAGCAAGAAGCGGTTCAACGAAAATTGCTACAGCTGTGGAAAAGCTGGACACAGATCTGCACATTATCGTGTTCCAAAGAAAGACAAGAAGAAGGGTCAAGCAAACATGGTTGAAAAGCACGAAGATGTTGATGACTTGTGTGCTATGCTTTCTGAATGCAACCTAGTGGGAAATCCTAAGGAGTGGTGGATTGATTCTGGAGCCACTCGCCATGTTTGTGCTGTTAGAGAAGCGTTTGCTACATATGCTCTTGTTGGACCCGAAGAGACGTTTTCTATGGGAAATTCTGCAACGGCCAAAATTGAAGGATGTGGGAAGATATTTCTGAAAATGACTTCTGGTAAGATGGTGGCTTTGAACAACGTCCTTCATGTTCCAGAGATTAGAAAGAACTTAGTCTATGTTGGACTTCTTGTTAAGAACGGGTTTAAGTGTGTTTTTGTATCCGATAAGGTTGTAATAAGTAAGAATGAGATGTTTGTAGGAAAAGGTTACCTCACTGAGGGCCTTTTCAAGCTGAATGTAATAGATGTTGAGAATAATAATAAAATTCCAGCTTCTTACTTACTTACTTGAGTCAAATGAATTATGGCATATACGTTTGGGTCATGTCGATTATAAAACCTTGCGAAAAATTATTAATTTGGAAGTATTGCCTATGTTTGAATGCGACAAATCAAAATGTCAAATATGTGTGGAATCTAAGTATGTTAAACATCCTTATAAGTCAGTTGAAAAGAATTCAAATACTTTAGACTTAATTCACACAGATATTGGCGACATGAAATCAATACCATCTCGCGGTGGAAAGAAGTATTTCATAACTTTTATTGACGACGGTACTCGATATTGCTATGTTTACTTACTTAATAGTAATGATGAAGCAATAGACGCATTCATGCAATACAAAAATGAAGTTGAAACGCAACTTAACAAGAAAATCAAAATGATAAGAAGTGATAGGGGTGGTGAATATGAATCTCCTTGTGAAGAAATATGCTTAGAATATGGAATTATTCATCAAACAACGGCCTTTTACACGCCCCAATCCAATGGGATTGCGGAAAGAAAGAATTGTTCATTAAAGGAGATGATGAACGCATTGTTGATAAGTTCTGGTTTGCCACAGAACTTGTGGGGGGAAGCCGTTCTTACCGCTAACCGGATACTAAATCGAGTATCCCATCTCAAAACACAATCCATTCCATATGAAAAATGGAAAGGAAGGAAGCCCAACTTGAATTATTTTAAAGTGTGGGGGTGTTTGGCAAAAGTGTAAGTTCTTAAACCCAAAAGAGTAAAAATAGGACCGAAAACCGTTGATTGTGTTTTCATAGGATATGCGATCAATAGTAAAGCATATCGATTCTGGTTTATAAATCAGAAAATTCCGACATTCATAATAATATGGTTATAGAATCAGATAATTCTGAGTTCTTTAAAAATATATATCCGTATAAAAAGGAATGTGAGTCGATTGGTAAAGGATCTAAATGACCTCGGGAAGAAACAAAAGAAAGTACATTTAATTAGGAGGATCTAAGACGTAGTAAACGTCAAAGAACGTCTACTTCATTTGGACCAGATTTTGTGACTTTCTTATTGGAAAATGAGCCTCGAACATTTAAAGAAGCTATGTCTTCTTCGGAATTGGATTATGCTCGTGTGTTTGGATGCTTAATGTATATCATGAATTATACACGACCAAATATAGCTTGTGCTATAAGTAAATTGAGTCAATACACGAGCAATCCAGGTCAATCTCATTGGATGGCAATGATTCCGAAGAAGACAGAGCTTCTTTAAATGTTGGAGGCTCATTTTCCAATAAGAAAGTCACAAAATCTGGTCCAAATGAAGTAGACGTTCTTTGACGTTTACTACGTCTTGGATCCTCCTGATTAAATGTACTTTCTTTTGTTTCTTCCCGAGGTCGTTTAGATCCTCTCACATTCCTTTTTATACGGATATATATATTTTCAAAGAACTCAACATTATCTGATTCTATAACCATAATATTATAATATTATGAATGTCGGATTTTCTGATTTATGAACCAGAAATCGATATGCTTTACTATTGATCGCATATCCTATGAAAACACAATCAACGGTTTTCAGTCCTATTTTTACTCTTTTGGGTTTTGGAACTTGCACTTTTGCCAAACACCCCCACACTTTAAAATAATTCAAGTTGGGCTTCCTTCCTTTCCATTTTTCATATGGAATGGATTGTGTTTTGCTATGGGATACTAGATTTAGTATCCGGTTAGCCGTAAGAACGGCTTCCCCCACAAGTTCTGTGGCAAACCAGAACTTATCAACAATGCGTTCATCATATCCTTTAATGAACGATTCTTTCTTTCCGCAATCCCATTGGATTGGGGCGTGTAAAGGGCCGTTGTTTGATAAATAATTCCATATTCTAAACATATTTCTTCAAAATGAGATTCATATTCACCACCCCTATCACTTTTTATCATTTTGATTTTCTTGTTAAGTTGCGTTTCAACTTCATTTTTGTATTGCCTAAATGCGTTTATTGCTTCATCATTACTATTAAGTAAGTAAACATAGCAATATCGAGTATTGTCGTCAATAAAAGTTATGAAATACTTCTTTCCACCGCGAGATGGTATTGATTTCATATCGCAAATATCTGTGTGAATTAAGTCTAAAGGATTTGAATTCCTTTCAACTGACTTATAAGGATATTTAACATATTTAGATTCCACACATATTTGACATTTTGATTTGTCGCATTCAAACATAGGCAATACTTCCAAGTTAATCATTTTCCGCAAGATTTTATAATTGACATGACCCAAACGTATATGCCATAATTCATTTGACTCAAAGAAGTAAGAAGAAGCTGAAATTTTATTATTGTTCTCAACAACCATTACATTCAGCTTGAAAAGGCCCTCAGTGAGGTAACATTTTCCTACAAACATCTCATTCTTACTTATTACAGCCTTATCGGATACAAAAACACACTTAAACCCGTTCTTAACAAGAAGTCCAGCAGAAACCTAGTTCTTTCTAATCTCTGGAACATGAAGGACGTTGTTCAAAGTCACCACCTTACCAGAAGTCATTTTCAGAAATATCTTCCCACATCCTTCAATTTTGGCCGTTGCAGAATTTCTCATAGAAAGCGTCTCTTCGGGTCCAACAGGAGCATATGTAGCAAACGCTTCTCTAACAGCACAAACATGGCGAGAGGTTCCAGAATCAATCCACCACTCCTTAGGATTTCCCACCAGGTTGCATTCAGAAAGCATAGCACACAAGTCATCAACATCTTCGTGCTTTTCAACCATGTTTGTTTTACCCTTCTTCTTGTCTTTCTTTGGAGCATGACAATCTGCAGATTTTTGTTCAGCTTTTCCACAGTTGTAGCAATTTCCGTTGAACCGCTTCTTGCTTGGGTTGCTTTTCGATCCATAAGCCTTCTTCCTTTTTCTATTATTTTGAGGAGTATCCTCAAAAATGTTTGCTCCCATTATTGTTAAGTTTCCACGGCCTTTCTTTTCGGCAGCTTTGTTGTCCTCTTTGATTCTCAACCGAACAATGAGATCTTCAAGGGACATCTCCTTGCGTTTGTGTTTCATGTAGTTTTTGAAGTCCTTCCACAAAGGAGGCAACTTCTCAATCATCGTTGCAACTTGGAATGATTCATTGATGACAAGACCTTCAATGAAAATTCTGTTAGTAAAAACAATATAATTAATATTTTTAGTATTAATTTGACTTATACCTTCAGCAAGGAGATCGTGAATAATCATTTGCAATTCCTGGACTTGGGTAATAACAGACTTGCTATCTACAATTTTGTAGTCCAAAAATTTAGCGGCAACGAATTTCTTTAACCCGGCATCTTTCGTTTTGTATTTCCTTTCAAGCGCTATCCACAGTTGTTTTGACGTCTCCACATTACTATAGATGTTATATAGATCGTCCTCCGGTTCGTTAAGAATGTAATTCTTGCATAGAAAATCAGAATGCTCCCACACCTCAGTCACGAAAAAGCGTTCATTTTCTGAAGTTTCGTCTGGCAGAACAGGAACGTCTTCCTTAATGAACTTCTGCAGACTTAAAGTCGTCAAGTAGAAGAACATCTTCTGCTGCCATTGCTTGAAATCAATCCCGGAAAATTTTCAGAGATTTTTTATCGGTGCCAATGCCGGTGTTGTTCGGCTTGTCGATGCATTGACAGTTACCATAGGAACAGTCTGGTTCCCGTTGTCATTCGTCATTTCTGTAAAAGAATGACACAAACAAACGTTAAAATCACGTAGATTTTAATCTCCAATGGAGTAGAAAACCACAAAGGTTTTAGTCTCCAGAACAGTGAGTATAATACAAATACAGAAAATTTTAAATTCCTTAAGCTTGATAGTAAGCTTTTCTGTAAAAGAATTCTGGAGAAGATAAAATAACATATAAACAGAAATGTAAAAGAAACATAATTTAATCCGAGCCCACTAAATTCTCAGTGTTTCCTTAAGAAATTTAATCCCCTCCTATTACCCAAGGTTATGGATTATTTCCTCCCAGGATAGAACGAATTACACACTGGTGTAGCGGTACTTCAAACCCCAGTGTTTCAGCGAACACAAAGATCGATATCAAATCGCACTTACTGGTGCTTTCTTTATAGTTAAAACAATGCAGAAGAAAGGAGGAGAACTTAGAAATTCATTTTTTATTTTTTTTAAATCTGAGAGAATAGGCTTGTATTTATAGCCAATGTTGAGCTTAAACCGAAGAGGTGTGACTCTTCAAAACTGAAGAGGTGCAACTATTCAGAAGGGTTGTTTGTGTAAAATGGACATAATGTAAATGACTTTTACAAAAACTGAAAAGTTATATAATGTTCCGTTGGATTTAATATTAATTTTTCGTTTACAAGAAAAACGAATATTTAATAACATTTCTGTTAATATTTACTATTAACAAATAAATTTGGTCCAAATCCGAATAAATCTAAATCTGAATCTGAAGCCAAAGCCGAACCGAGCGAGTGACAACGATGACGCGAGACTTGCCTTCTTTTTAACTCTTTAAGAGCTAGAAGTCAAGCAATTGTATATATACCCATCAAAACCTTTTCCTCTTCCAATATGGGACAATGTCCCTTTGTCAAGGAGGAAACTCAAATATTTTTAATTTCACTCCATTTCCCATTTACCCTCTTTTAAGCTACATTTAAGCTTTAAACCCCAACAGGTGTAGCAAGCTGCTTTTGTCAACATTGTAGTAGGTTCCATAGCTTGTCTGAATTTGATGAAACGAAGAGAAGCTGTCGCAGGAGGCTCTCTGATCACAATGCACGGCGCCGCAAACCACAGCAGGAAACCATCCAGCTCAACTCGGCAAGGCTTTCTTCATTGTTTTATGATAGCAGGCAACCTATGAATCTTGTGCCCGAGAGCAAACCAAAACTACAAAAGCTATGTAAATTTACATATTTTTTATTATAAGCCAAATAAAATCCTAGCTCTTGAATCCAATGCCGTTGATCTCAAATTAGTATACATTAATCTTGCAAGAATAAAGAAATAGGAAAACATCAATATTTCTATTTTAGCGGCCAATTGGTAATCACGAACTCTGGCCATAAAAGCTGGAGCACCATGGGCAATCAACCTTTTCTTAAATATTTTAGGCCTTTTGCTCTTTGCAATTGCTCCTCGTAAATGGAGCGACATTATCTGTGAGAATTAGACCTCAACTAGCTTAGAATTGTTATTGTTGTGGAAACTAGTGATTCAAATGAGTGAAAATGTAAGATAGAAGAAATACCTTCCTGAGGAGAATGGCAATGTCAGCTTGAGAGTCTTCAATGGACTGGCTACCACACTCTGTACACCTGACATTGTGGCTGATATTTCTTGCTCTTGCCTCTACCACCCTCTCCTTCTTCACCTGATCCTCTTCCCCCTCCATAGATAGTCTTCAGATAAGTTAAGCTTTCCTCTCAACACCAGAATTTCACACGAAAGCTGCAAACAAGTTATGGAGAAACCAACTAAATACTTAATCCAAGACGTCTAACACCTAAATTTTCAGCGAAGCATTTCATCGAACAACTCACATGCAAATACCCGGCTACACCACAACCGCACACTTATGGAGACATAGTTTTCCTCGGGTTGAAACCAACCATGTATAATAGAAAAAGTAGCGACGTGAATAAACAGGGAGTGAAGGGAAGAATGCTTTAGAATTCTGATACCTTTGCGGAGGAGTCACTTCCAATATGCGATAACAGCTATGAGCAAACTCACAAGCCAAGGAACTACTATTCGAGATTATCACAGACCAGGCCTATTAGAATATATGGGCCTATGAGAAATAACTGAGCCCAATAAATTACCCCTTTCGCTCAATACTTTTGGGGTGAAATTCAAAAATAACCAGATTTACGAGTGGTAATTGAAAAATAGTCATGGTTTCAAAAGTAATCTAAATTTAGCCACTTTTCATGTAAAGATAAATCTGAATGAATACACTATTCAAAATCCGGAAAATATTGCTGGAACTTCAATATATTATGTCGGAACTCCAGTATATGGTCCAGCATAATATGCTAGAAGTTCATACACAGGTGCTCCAATCTCTAGTATATTATGCTGGAATTTTCCGTGTGTTGGAGTTCCAACATATTATGCTGGAAGTTCATACACAGGTGCACCAATTTTCAATATATTATGCTGGAACTTTTCGTGTTGCAGCAAAATAATGGCTATTTTTTAATGACTCTACAAAAGCTGGCTATTTTTCAATTACCAGTCCAAAAACTGGTTAACCCGTGCTATTTTCACATAAGTCAGGAGAAAGCACGAAAGACTCGCACTACGCAGCTGCGGTTAGTGGATATATACTGTAAATAAATAAATTAAGTATGGGAAAAGTAGATCGCAGATCCTAAATTTTTATAACTATATTTATTATTTAGTTTTTAATTTCTAAAATTAAATTATTTTATTTGATGTAAATATTGGAAGTATAAATATTTACTCTAGAGTATAGGGCACCTTTTATTTTCTTTGTAAAACGAGCAGACAAACATGACTTGGTGTGTTAGCAATCCATGCACATATAAAAGCACACTTGTCTCCATCTCTTCACTTTCTAAAATACATCTCTTCTCATGTTATTCTACCGGTTGTAGGTTATTTGTCAAACAAAAGAAAGAAAAATATTGTTTAAAAGGGTTTAGAGTATGGGTGTTTAACGGGCGGGCTGGGACGGGTTGGACACAAAAAACATCAGCCCGTCCCTTTAATATTGCGGGCTGAGTTAGCGGACTGTACTTTTTCAGGGTTTTTTTTGTCCGTCCGGGTTCGGGCTTAGCGGGTTGTTAGCGGGCTGTGAATTTTTTTTTTTTAAAGTAAATTTTATTTTTCTTGTTCAATGTTATTGATACTTAAGTGTTTGCAAACTTTTAAGGCTTAGAATTAAACTTTGAAGTTTAAAATTTGAAATTTGAATTTTATAATTTTAAAATTAAAATTTGAAAGTAAGTGGCTACAAAAAATTATTTAATAAGATCAATAGGCAATATGTAAGGATCAAACTCCGAAGACTTTCATTTGATATTTTTATTGAATAATATATAATACTTCAAATTAAGTTGCAAGTTCTTTTTTGATTTTGTTATTTTTGAACTTGCAAATTAAAAGTTTACAACAATTATATAAAAAAAAGAAAAGAAATAGTACATCACATGCTTTGCATCATTTTTGTTAGTTCATCCATGTCAACATGAGGTTCTTGGTTTCCGGCATTGGTTGAATCAGAACTATAAACCATTATATCTCCAATTTCTTGGTCCTCCACTTCATCTACCTCGTCACGCCCTTGATTTTGTCGTTCTGATCTTATCCAATCTCTGAAGCACACTAGAATTTCCAAAGCGTTGCTACCCAATGAATGACGGGTTTCTCTTAGTTGCTGTCTTGCTTGGCTAAATGCGCTCTCTGATGCGACTGTTAAAATCGGCACATTTAGCACGTCTCGAGCCATGGTCGAAAGAACAAGAAATTGATTTGAGTTGCTCCTCCACCAACCCAGTGGTAGAAATTCCTTTGTGCGGGGCTCTGCTAACTTTTGCAAGTAGAATTGAAGTTCGTCAATATTCCTGCTACTGGTTTGTTGATGCTCCCCTATTGTAGACCAAATCAAATAATCTTCAACACCATCATTATCATCCAAAGCACTGGTCCCAAATGTTGAAACTGAACTTGAAGGAATATTTGCATCTACAACAGAAGAAGCATCAACAATGTTAGCATAATAATTATATAATNCCATTATGTAAATTAAATTAATAATTGTAAATAATAAAATAAATGTATACCAAATAAGAGGAAGATATAGAACGAGTGTACCGGGATTTCGGATGCCGCACTAAATTTGATATCAAAAACTAAACTTCAACTGATAGATCGATACTTGATAGTTGATACCACACTTCACTTGAATACTTGATATTTGATAATAATAATAATTTTGTAATAGCTAAACTAAATATTTGATGAAACTTGAAATAATAAGTAATTGAGAATTTAAGAACAATAATCAATAATATCAAGAGAGAATTAGAGTAGTAAGAGAGTGAATTGTGAGGAAAAATAAAGAAGAAGGGGGGCTATTTATAGTTTTTAAAAGGTTAAAATTATAATTTATCAAATACTAGGGATGTGGGGGCTATTTTCTTAAGGGGGTAAGCCGAAATGGCCATTTCTGCAAAAAAAAAGGGTCGTTGACCAACGGTCATATTTGAATTTGACCGTTGGCAACGGTAAAAAAAAAAAAGTTAAAAATCAGGCTGAACCGAGCTGTAGCCCGTTAACGGGTTCCGGTGCACCGGTATCAAAAAACTGTTCGTTTGAAATCCGCTCCCCGCCCAACCCGTCCCAGCC